TATCGATGGCCTCTCGGATCTTGCGTTTTCTCGTATTTTCACCACATGCAGCCAATCTTTCGGTCGATTTTCAGTCGATTTTGGGCCCTGTTTGTGCAATGTGTTCCGCTATTTTTGATCTTTTCGTATCCATGATCCTACAAAGTCTTTGATGTTCGAAGGGTTGCTTCGTAGGCCGATTTTACTTCCTGTTTCACCAATATACTTTTTCTCACAGTTGCCGCATCTGATGCGATAAACCTCCGAGCAATCAAGTTTGTCCGTCTTCTCGTGTTGCGTCGGCACACTGGTGAAAAGTATTTTCTTCTCCCTTGTTATTACCCTGATATTCCATTTCCTTAGTAACTACCAGATGGTATTTATATTTTCGTTTTTCGCTCCTGCGATCATTAAATTCCTTTGGGTACCATCTCTCACTTCATCGATTGTAGCCCCATGAAGTCCTGAAATGGCCAATAGAATCATTGGATGTCTCATTATGATTGCAAAGTGAGATATAAGGAGTAAGTAGGATTTTAACTGGTTGTTGTAACTGATGGCTTCTTGCTCTGACAATGTCTCTACATGACGGACGAAAGCTCAGCACTGATTCATCAGAGTCGCAGGAAGATGAGCCGAGGTCTTCTTCATATGATTTAACAGTCACAAATTCAAGACAATTTTCACTTGGTATCCGGTAAGGCCAATTTATGAATCCTTTCCATCTGTATTTTCAGATGAAATGAAAGGTATGCCAGCATCAATCTACTAAGGGATTTATTTCTTTTAAATTGATTCGATGTCCACATCACATTATATGGACATTTAGCGTTCTAAAGAGAACGTGGACTGTACCTAAAGAATAAAACATTTGCTCCAAAACGATGAGAGAAAATTAAAAATAGTATTAATAAGTGTCCTATTTAGAAACGCCTGAGTACAGTATGGGAGGCTGACAATGAAAAAGGCATTCATTGAAAGGCGGCGTGAAATAGAAAAGTTTAAACTCTGCAGGTCACAGCGGAAGGGAGATAGAGAAGGAAGAGAACCTAAACATTATGTTAGCTTAGTTGAACGCTCCTTGTCCGAAGTCTAACTAAGTCGTCCTGACAACAAGACCAAGTTGCGAAAACGAGGTCAGTTAACTTTTATGAATTGAGAGGAGACTGCGACTACGTCGAAAGCCACACCATTTTGGTCTTCATATCTTCGATTATCTTGGCTACTTGTCAAACCTTTGCTTAGAAGTTGTTTGATCCTAGTTTCGCAACTTAGTCATAATAGAAGGAAGACCTAGAGGAACACACCTCGTCCGGAGTCCATAGTATACATGATCATTTCCAGAATCGGACTGTGGACTTGATACATTCCCAGACGTTTCGCCGGCATCCTATTCGGGATCGTTAGTTAGTCTTGCCGATCTCAGCAACCAAGCTACAACTCGTCAGAGACATGTGAAGTCAATCCCTTGACCTAGTTTCTGTCGAGACGGTTATGCCATCACTCGCTTTATCCTAGTCCTATCCATTTTCTATCCTCTATTTTCGCCTTCGTCCTATCACAACTTCTGACATGTTTAAATTCTACAAAAGATGTACCCATTTGGCGAATTTACAGCGGCGTCATCACACCTGCTGTTTCCTTTCATCCCCTCCCTTTCGAGTGGCTTATCCTGCTCCAGTCTCCTCTCCGAATCTGCCTCATGGGCCCGTGGGTCCGTTTCTTGTCTTTCTGGTTGACCGATTTCACTCGGTTCCAGCCCCAGTCTACTTCTATTCCAAATGCTATTTCTCAAGCCTTCAATAGCACATACAAAGTTGCCTTATCTTCTCAGCGTCTAGGCTATGATTCTCATGCCTGCGGATATTTGGTACTACTCTCACGCATCCTTACCTCGATTAAGCCCATATATCCCGAGTACACTGTGGGCATCCATCTCTGGTCGTCTGCTGCATCTCAATTAGATTACTAGCCCATTTGGTCACAATGCCTGATTTCTGTGACCGAATACCTTTCACTAGTCACGTGAAACGTGCTCAATCAACGCACCCTATGCCTACGCATTGTTCAATGACTGGTTTATTTACACTTTAAAGCACGAACTTGTGGGCCAACTCTTGTTTTCCTACAGAGGAATCTACTTTGACCCTTTTGCCAGTACAGTTGATATGATTTTTATATCCTAGCAAAGCAGCTACATTAACTTTTGGGCAGAATTTTTTCTTTTTTTCTTTTTTTTCGCTGTTAGGTCTTATGCATAGCTCATCGATTCAGCACTTGGGCTCTACGATAATGGTCGAGAGGAAATTTCACTGCTTAATGTGCCCACCTCTTAAGGTGGCCAAAAAGATGACGATCCGTGCACGAGATGCCGGGTCTTCTTCTAGAGTGGTCATCTACGTTGTACTAACCGAAGATGATATCATTCCAATTGAAATATATTCCAATGGAGTCTAAATATCAACTTTACTAATGATGTCGAATACCGCTAGTCCTTTTAGATTATCATCGATGGTTTTCACAATTGAGGCATGCTTAGGAAGTCGTGACTATCGAATTTCGGGTAATCCTTTTAGCGATCCAACGTTCGCATATCTAAAGTGCCATTAAAGTATTACGGCCCACCTTATTCCTTGAATTACTCTTCATTTAAAACATCTATGGTTTCTTTTATGCGTTATTAAATGTTTCACTTCCCTATATTTGCACTTTTCCTCGCTCTCTATCACCTCATCATATTCATACGAAAACAGGCGAATGGGAGATTGCTTAGGCGAGGCAAAGGCCAGCGGTAACCTGGGTAACACATTGAAGATGCTCGGTAAATATGACGAGGCTATTATGTGTTGCAAGCGCCACTTGGAGATCGCACGTCTTATGAATGATAAGGTATCCTTGCCAGTCTCACTACTTTCTCTCCCTTCTTTTGTCCCATGTATATTCTTCTATGTTTGTCTATTGCCCCTATTTACACTAGTTAACTGATCTAATAGGCCCTAACGGAAAAAGTAGCTATTTCGCCTTTTATGGACAATTTACTCCAACATTTTTATAGCGTAAGAACTATTTCTATCCCACAGTTTTTTAACAAAGCAACTGCAAATATGCATTTTGGGGCTTTACCTCAGCTTATTTGCGGCCTTT